CGTCTATAAGACCCTTAATTCTGGCCTCTGAGACCTTAAGAGCTCCTCTGTTTGGGTCGCCTTGTTTGATTAAGGATAGTCTCAAAATATTTATGACTAATGGTATGATAAGTTTGAGTCTTACGGAACGACAAAAAATGTTCTAATGATCCCGAGAACAAAACGGGATGTCATTTACCTTAAAATTTTTTCTTTAGTCAACAGAGGAAGGGTGGGGGAAATAATTTTTTCATCTTGCCTTAGTAATCAAAACAATTCAGCCTTAAGAAATCTCTTTGCCTTCTTTTTTTCGTTAAGGAGAACAAAATCAAAGCAGTTGTAAACTTCAGTATAGCCAACGACTCAAAATCTAGCCTTTTTGAGCGCATGACTGACCTGATGAAAATGTTGTTATACATCCCTGGCACATCTAGATGAGAAGTCTTTAAACTCACAATTTAAGTTTCTTATTCCGTAAACACTAGGCACAACATTCGCTCTAATCTTTAAACATTTGACCTTTATCACTGAATACTGCATGAAAGACTCCCTTCAAGAAGCTTGAAGAAAACGAACATGCATTTTACTAACTCTTAATATTCTTCCGTTGATCCAAGGTCGTCGTGAAGGTTCAGAAAAGGTAGTTATTCTTATCACCGATGGTCAGTCAAACGCACAATGTCACTTAACCATACCCAAAGCTCAGGAACTAAAGAAAAGACAAGTAAAGATTTTCGTGTTTGTTGTGGGATCTTACGTAAGGGGAATGGACGAAATGGTAAAGGTAGCCTCCGACCCGCCCACGGATCACATGTTTAGAGTTGAAACATTGGGTGGACTTTATGAGGTCACCAGGCTCATTTTACAGAAGGCCTTTCCAGATGAATGGAAAATTTCTTCCGGTCAGTATAATCCTCCGTGCAGATATAGAAAGTAAAGCGGAATTTAAAAGCGCATCTTCCCTCAAAGTTTCCTGGGCGTTCGTATTTTTGCTTTGAAAAATTATTTTCCCGAAAAAAGGTCATAATTATTGATTAAATTATCCCCAGAAAATATTTTTTACCATGTGAAAACGTTTGAAAGTCGCGCAATGCGCTTTGAGTGATAATAAGCCCTAAATATCTTACTTTATTTTCAAAAATCATACCCATTAGGACAACAGTCTTAAAGTCCAATGTCAACTGAATCCTCGTCCTCTACCCCGTGCTTGGTAAAAATCAATTTCCCCTCACCAACTGGGACAGTCTACGATAAAGAGCGACTGATGATGTCTACTAAAAGTTCCCTTTACTGAGAATCAAACCCTAAGTTTTTACCCTGCCCATCTCTGAGCCTTTGGAAGAAACCTTATATAAATGTCAGCGGGTATGTTTTTTGAAAATTCAGGCAAACATAACAATATTTCATTGTACTCTGAAGTAGATAGAGGAAATATTTTAAAATTATTTGTAAATGTACGAGAACCGAAATTTAATTGATGGCATTAAAAAATATATTTATGGCTGAAACTAGGCGCCAAATGTCATGCCCGTATAGAACAGATTTCTCTACCAGAGTTGCGATTTTTAAGTAAAGCGCGTTTTAATGAAGTTTTACTTGAGATAAGAAAACGTAATTAAGTGTTCATGATTTATTTGCCATTTGCGAGATGTGCTTTTGCACTCCGAAAATGAGTATCACCGCTAGATGGGTTGACTTCCAATAGATGTTGACACCTCTGAATTTTAATAATTAAGTAATTAGCTGATCATTTCCCCTAAGGTCATAATGTAATGATCCAAGGTGAAGCACCATAAATATGGTTTTCAACGCCTTCAAAATAGAGAGCTCAAGTTGAGTTTATTATACTTCTGTGTTGAATGAAAAAATGGCAGTTCCGCTTCAAAAAATTATTCTCTTGTCTACATTCATTAGTAAAATAAAATTAGTAACTCAGTGTGTATTCTATAACTACATTTAATAAACGATTATATTTTATGGCTTGAAAGAATATTGTAATTATATTATTACCTTGCAATCCATACTAGAACGCAATTGTAGACTCTGAGAGGCAGACGTTCAAAGAGGAGGAAGTAGAGAAAATCAGTGCGAAACATAAGGAGTTAGGCTAAGAGAATTTCGTGCGCTGGAATCATGAATAGCAAAAGAAATGTAAATGAAAACTAACGAGTGAGAAGAAAAAAAGGATAGGCACTTGTGAGATTATTCCACGGAAAGTGCACACGAACTATTTTTTATTCAAGAGTTGCGATGCATCTAAAAAAGCGAAAGAGTAAGTTATTATTATTTCTTTCTATTACTATTTCTTATTATTTCCAAAAGTGACTCCGTCATGAACATCTGGTTGATAGGTTTTGAACAATTATCACAAACTCGAGGAGTCCCGTCATCTGCCAAATGTTGGTGTGTAGGGTTTTTTTTTATAAAGTTCTATTTTGCGCCTTTTCATAGTGGCTTGCAAGTCTTCGTGATTCGACTTAGTCAGTGACTCAAATTACTTAAACTTACTTAATTCGCCCATGTAAGGTTATCCAAGACAGTATTAGATTCTGGATTCCACGCTGTGGAAGCTAGATTCCGGATTCTACCCCTGCAGATTCCAGATTTTAGTTTCTGGTTCGCTCCTAATTTTCGTATTTCGTTATCTAGGAATGACTTCAATGGTCGATTTTGTCATTGAAGGACATGTTTGTGAATGCATGTTTGTCTGTTCATATTTCCATAACTGAACATTTGATAATTACAAGAAATATATATTACAGCAAATTAAGGGATAAATTTTTCTTCTAGGAATACCGATGGAGACTGTCCGTCTAGCAAGTCTAATGACCATTCATTCCCCATCTTTTTTTAGCAACTCTGTGGAGGCGAGGTCATATTTCTTTCATTCACGTTCCGCGAGGTTAATTCTTCAAGTGATTTAACTATATCAAAAGAACCAACAGTTCAAATCGTTGCTTATAATTTTTAATTTGTAAATAACTGTTATACTAAAAAGTTGTTCTAGCACAGCATAACACTGTTCTGACTGGGAAAAGAAGGCCAATTTTTATAATCCAAAATTGACTTAGAACTGCCAATAAAACAGCACGAAAATTTTTCTCCATCAACTCAAAATACTTTTTTACTTTCCTTTTAGACAAAAAACCATAGTATTGACCAAAAATTTAAACTGAAAATAGCTGTTATAACTAAGAAAAAGACTATGACTAATAAAAGCTTGTTTTCCTACACGTAATTGGTGTTGATGTCCGACATTATGAGATTGCGCATGAAACGGTGTTCAACCAACTCAACTATACTTGAACCTTTGCAAATTGCGAAAGATTTGCATTTACACGATTATTTTCCAAGAATAACAGATTCTCCTTTCTATACTACCTTTTTTTTCTTAAAAAGGTTAGCCAAGTCGAGTCACATTACTTCGGCTATGAATTCTCCAGAGCAATGATTCTATAAAGGTATAAGGTGGCCCGTCGCTATTTTGTGTTTTCTAGAAAATGGTGTTTCACCCTAAAATGCGCTTATGTTATTCGCACTGAGATATGATGCCTTATAAAATCTTCAAATTTGTTACTCCGAATGCTAAATATCAAAGAGAGCGGTTTACGTTTAAATGCCTAAAATTCGACTTAGAAATAGACCTCTCCCGGCTCCCATTAATATCTGTATATATATCTTTGTTCAAAGTTGATCATAATTGGAAACGTGTGGTCCGTCGCCATGTTGCAATTGGTGTTCCAAGCAAATCTTGTGGGATTTGAGCGCTTTTGTTGTGTAAAAAAGTTTTTTCGTCCCCTAAATTTGCATACTTATCGACCATGTGAGTGAACTGCACTCTATTGTGGTTGCATCGGTCATGATAAAACGCAGACTGCAGACCATGCAGACTGTGCAGACCGTGCCGACCGTGCAGACTATGCAATTTTTTTGTTTGCTTTTTTTAACTGTTATTTACATATGATTAAGGTGTATACATCTTTTTCTCTTTTACTCTTTTGGTAACGCTGGAACTGTTTCCAATTTTTGGAAACCGCATGACGAAATTTTATGAGGTCATTTCGAGCTCATGTTCCCTGGCGAAACAAAATCGCAGGCTCAAGTTTCTCGAGCTCATGGAGATTAGCCCCACGCGGCAAGATGTATAATGTAATTTGTGAGGACAGCGATGCTGATTTAGAGGTATGAGATGTGCTGTGTGATCGAAGCAAATGATTACCATGATATTCACAAGACAGCAAGTAGACAAATCCGCAATAAAACTTTCCCTCTTTGGTCGAGTCTCCGGATATTTTGAATTCGAAATCTGGAACATCAAGTCCGAAAACTTTTTAAACCAGAAAGCCTATTCGTAAAAACGATTTGAAGAATGAATTTGGGTGCTTTTCTGCCTGCGACCTTTAGACGGTTTGCTATCCTTTCCCTGGTGAACAGGCTGAGATCATGTGCCTATCCATTCTGTTGTTTATAAAACGTGACGAACTCTTTCCTGATTTCCTCGAATTTGCTTTTGATGCTCTCCCATTCTAAACCTTCGTAGTTCTTTTGGGTAGAATATGCACGAACGACTGCGAGCAGAAATTCAACTTCACTATCTGTCCAACTCAAATCTGTATCTTGATCGACTCTAGCCCTTTTTACTTAGGAAGAATTTTGTTGTTATCGATTAAGGCAGGAAACAGCCTTGTAACCAACGTAAACGTCAATGAATACGATAACCCTAAAATTGATGAATTCGGTAACAATTATGGATCCGGAAAAATCTCCTCTGATGAAAATTTGTTCAAAGCTCACGTTTCGAGCGTTAGCCCTTCGTCAGCGCGAATTGTCTCTGTGGCAGCTAAACAGCTAAATTTTGATCAATAGGATCTGTTAAGTTACAATCGTTTCGAAATCGTTGGATATCGTCAAAAATAACATATATCTTTGGAGTAGATTCTGGAAAGCAATCGATTGGGGTAAATACAAAGAATTTTGCCACAGGCCTTTACAGCAAATATTATTTCCATTATTTTGTTATTTTACAGTTTAATGTAAAACGTTCTGTGACATGCTGAAAGAGCGTACTTACTGGGAAAACAAACCGAACCTTACGGTTCGGGGTTAATCGGAATTAGTATTTTATGACACAGCAAGGAAGTGAGAAACTGTTCGTGATAAATCTATACGAGACCTTTAAAATCGAAAAGGTTTTTGATTACACAAACTTCTGCCGTTTCTTACTAGTGTCTTTAAGTTACAAGTGATCTTGCCTATACTCTGCGTGTTTTCTGCAAGTTTCTATCTCGTAATTGCGGAAATAAAATGCAGTCAGATTATTTAAATGACTTAAATGTCTCAGATCATTAATGTTTTGTTACAATGAATATTTATAGCATCATCTCAGTCAATTATCCTCCGCAGCCACCGCAGCCACCGCCGCAACCACCGCAACCACCGCATCCTCCACAGCTACCACCGCATCCTCCACAGCTACCACATCCACCGCAACCACCACATCCACCGCAGCCACCACAGCCACCGCATCCACCACATCCACCGCAGGCACCTCCTCCTATCGCATACTTTAGGTATGAGTTAGTTGGTACAGTGTTGGCATAGTACCCGGCTGCCACTATTAATGCAAGGTCTTCATTATGAATTCCGCCTGGTTTGTCGGCCTGTCCTGATGCACAAACTGATGGTTTTGAATAATCTGTACTTCCGACTGGAGTGTAAGGCTGGCATAAAAGATGAAGAATGGCAATTGAAAATCCGAGTGCAATTACCTCTGGCACGTGATGTACTTCAGAAGGAAACGAAATCAAGCCTGTGCGCAAATCGATGCTGAGCTTCATCTTTTTGCTAAGACTTACCCAGAACTGATCTCCCTGCTTTTCTACCTCTTTCCACTCTTTAGTTCCGGACAGTGAGAAGAATTTAATGGACAAATGTCCAGGTTGGCCTCTCACGCCAGGTTTTCCTTTTACACCTGGTTTATTTGGCTGCCCTTTTATTCCAGGCACGCCAGGGACACCCTTGACAAACCCTTCCCATTTTCCGATGCAGACTCCCCAGTCTTTGCTTCCTCTAATAAGCATTGCTCTTTCTCCTGCGTTCTCATCCAAAGTGCAACATTTTTGTGGCTTGCTCACCTGTTCTTTCGTAGGAAGTATGCTACCCCATAGTAAGTGAGCCGTACTAACAACGCAACCAGATTGGTTGATAACCTCCACGGAAGAGAACACCAACAAAGCTGAGTGCACCACTCGGCAGGTAAACGCCTGTCGAAGCTCACTGTCAAGTACCCGATGGAGCGACATTTCGCAAGGTGCCGATGGGGAAGCTAAAGAAGCTGGCGAAAGGAAGAGCGTCGGCGAGCTTAATATCTGACCGGGATATTGGACTTGGCTGAAATTTCTCTTTGGTCTCACGGTAAAATAGTATCCATCTAGTTTGGGGGGATGAACTACAGTAGTAAACCGAACATTGAAGTTCTCAGCCACAGTTAAGTCGTGCGTTTCTGGCTCAGGCTTGGCGGTACTTTGGTAAGGAACTTTGCCGACCAGATGGTTTACAAACAGGTACTGGTCAGACTCGTCAAGTGAATGTGTAAAGCAAGAGTATGTTCTTGGTTGATAAATGCGAACCTGATAAAATAAATACAAAGTTAATGATGGTTTTGAACCAAATAATGTTTCTTTTGCCGGTAGCGACTTATTAATCCTATGAAATATCACTTCCACAAAATCCCAGTGGTGTACAATTGACGATTCCGCAAACCAGTGGTCTCCCTGATCATCATCACCCTTTTCACCTACCACCGTTACTTAACTACCCGAAACTGATTCAACTAAACAAGATTTCATCTCACTGGGCTTGGTGTTCATGTCTCAGCCACTTTATTGTTGCGCGTGAATCACATGTGATCCTTGCAATCCGATTGGCTCTCACCGGCGCGATTTATTTTACCATTTTATGCTCTTAATCGTATCTTTGTCCCAGCCAATGAGACACCTTTACCAAAACACAACAACCAATCAATTTCAAACTTGTTTAAAGAAATCATTCAAATTGCAGGGAAATGAGAGACAACTTTTGCATCTTTTTACAAACCAGCTCAATAAAATATTTTTACAAACTAAAAACTGCATTAAGCGAACGAGTTTTCCGATTTCAAAATAGGTGTAATAAAGTGTAATCGAATTTCGTGTCGTGCAATTTTGGCTTGAAATCATACTTTTGATTTCAAATCGCGTTGATGATTTCAGACCAAATTGCACTCAGTGTAATTACCATAATAAATCAGACGAGAAGGAGACAACTGATAAATAACTCTGAATCATAGAAGATAAATTATTAAAGCATTAACACTCTTACCTTCAGATTACTGCTATTCTTCGTTTTAAACGTAAACGTTGATAAGGCATTGGTGGATTCGGAAAGTGTGGCATTTGGCCCGCGAATCTGTCTCTTAAGGACCCGCTCACCATTCATGACATCAATTTCAATAGTGTACGCTTTCGGTTTAGGGAGACCTTCAACTTCCAATTTGGTCAAATCTACAGTGTACTCGAGTGCTGCCAGCCAAGTGTAGTCAATGGGCCCTGCCAGTGTGTTAGTTCCAAGAGGAGGCTCTCCACGGAACATGGCTCCATTCACTGCAAATTCTTGACCCAGGTTTTTCCATTTTTCGCGGGTTATTTCTTCAGACAAGTTGAGCTTTGAGCCAGGCTGACGGTCGTTCACTGAATCATCATGTTTGAGTACTTTACCCAGTATCTCCGTGGTGTCTTTTTTGTATAGCAGTGGATTTACCTGATGCGCATGCCAAATGAGATCAAAGTCGTAGCAAGGCACAAGAAACATTTCTGGGTTATCTCTCTTGAGCATGAGATGCCATGTATATCTCTCCATTGCTTTAGTCATGAATTTCTTATCTTCAAAGTGAGGTAAGGACACCTGATAATAAAATACTCTCTGTCGAGTACAGGCAGCTGCGATGTCATACTCAATTCTTGACTTGAAACCTGGCGCATTGTTAGCAGGGGCCGTCAGGTCAACTTCAAAAGGCTCGCTGGGATACGACTTCTCCCACAGAGCTTTGGCCGTAATAAGCCCTTTCTGACGCTGTTCTCCAACTAGGATCTTGTGATCTAGCAGAGTAGAGGCAATTTCGTTGCAGTCCCTTTCATAATTGACGGGTGACAGCATGTGCACGTGCCAAACCCACGCGATGTCGAGTGGTGCCGCAATTTCTGAGGTCGTAGAATAAGCGAGCAAAGGCAGCCAGAAAAGTTCATACCTAATAAAAAAAAAAGGAAAAAAAGTTAAAAATAGTTAAAATCAGTTTAAAGTTAAGTCAAAGGCTTTCTTGTAATCTGACCGTTAGGACTGGATACACTCCATGGCTAGGAGGATACTATGGGTGCCCAATACCGTAACATTTCAGGACAATAATAATAAATAATGGCAATAGGACTGAGTGGAGTCCACTTCGGTCTGTAATCATACGAGTGATAACAAAATCGGACGACCGCGCAGCCGAAGTCCGATTTGTTTATCACGAGCATGATAAAAGACTGTCCGATAAAAAAAGGTACGCTGAGAGAGGTTAAAAATGCACCGAAAATTTTTTTCCGATTACTCACGAACCTTTTCGCGCCGCTTCGGCCGAAGTCCCTCAGTGCTACAAAGAGCAAAAGGACTATTGTTTAATACTTAATGTGAGAAGTTGAGCTGGAACAACAGACCATTTCTTGATACATTGAACTCTTTGATTTTATTATTCTCATTTTGTCTCTCGCTATTTAGTGAGCCTACACTTTAACTTTCCACCCTCTGATTTCTCAGCCTCTTCACTTAGTTCAGTTCACATCTGACAGAAACTAAATGACTCTGACCGGCCGCTTTAAAAGTCGCACTCTACATGTAACAGACTTATTCTCGGGCCGAACTTTAATTAACCGAACTTTTACGATATATATGCTTTAGTGAAAGTAATGATAAAAATCTATCAGTTATATTCGGGACGTTGAAATTAAATGAAACTTTCTGCATTTAAAATTGTGCCCCTGATTGTTCGTTAAAACTGTTTTCGTGACGTGCTGTCAAACAAATTTGAACAGTTGAAAAATGAAACAGTGTGGCTTTCTATTTCGATCCCCACGGGCCTTACTCCTAAATATTTAAAACGATTGATCAACAGTACAGTTGAACCAAACCTACCTTCTGATTGCGTTTTGAACGTGTGAACCAGCATATAGACTTGGATGATCATCAACAAGCTGTAAGAATTGGCGGTGGGCAACGGCCGCTTCCACCAAGTCAATGCTGAGTCTAATCTTGCCGCGTGACATGTCGATTTACATTTGCATTGAATCACGTCTCTGGTGGTAGTGAAAAAAAATCAAATTTTTAAACTCATTAATCACTTGCGATTAAAATATTACACTTTGTAACATAAAGTAATTTATTCGTTCTGTCTTGATTTCCGTTAAATATGTCCTACTCTACTGACTCCTCGAATTTTTTGCTAACTATTTGTTTATTGAAGTTATTATCCTCCATAGTGTGTCAGAAAGCAAACTTACGATATCCTTACCGGATTGCTGTAGTTTACTATTTTCATTCCCGAAAAAACTCAAATTTTTTTCTTTAGGATCTTCCTGCGGTGGTAGAAGCAGAGACAGATGCAATGTAACGCCAGTCTCTATTTATTACAGAAGTGCATTATTGTGGCTCATTTATCACTTTAATGAATGTTATGCATCTCAAAACATCTGCGCCACAAATTTCGAGGGTACATTATAAATAGCGGTTGAATCAAAACGCTTCACTCTTAAGGAAAATCATTAAAATGGTAAAAAAAAAAAAGCAATCTTTTCTCTAAATAAACAAAATATCTTAAGTCTATATTGCTCCGGATCTCCCAAGACTTTATACTGGACGGATTAACTGCTAATGATTTCAATAATGATACGGAGATATTTGCATACGTGAACTTAGTCTAGTTGGACTCGCGTTACCAATGCACATCCTTAACTTGATTGAGAGCGGCTGTTTGATATGACTGCGTAAAACTTTATCGATTAAATAGCCATTTGAATAATTGCAATTCATACATGTTAATAATATTTGGATAATCGTCTCGAAGGTAAAATACTTCGTGATACGCGATATTAGCCGTGCAGACAAGGATAATGAAAAATTTATCGGGAGAATCGAACTTAAGGTATAACTAAATACTTCTGGCCGTACAAGATTGCTGCGCAAAGGTGACAGATCCATCCTACACATCTCAAAAGATTTCGTCAGAGATATTTGACAAATTTCACAATAAGCACGTCAGAGAAACCAAAAAATATTGAATTGTCTTCGTGACTTCAACGTTGCGAAAATCAGGTCGATTTCAACAATCGGCAAAAACGGAAATTTTACATCTCTATAGAATGTTGAAAGTGTAACGGTGAGAGATGAAAAAGTTAAAACTTCTTACCCACCGAACTTATCGCCCGCAAACCCTCGCCTTCTGAAAAGAAATTCCCCTTTCTCGGAGGTAGAAGCTCAAGAGTCTTGACAAGTTGCGAGCCAGTGAGTCGTGCGAATCATCATGTGGGCCATGCGAGACACAAGTTAGTTCCCACTCCATTTCGTTTTCTTCGGTTATTGGCTGAGAAGTCTTTGAAATGTACCGGTAACTCGATATAATTTATTGTGACATAATGCAAATGCTGCATAACAAAATATGCAGTGAAGCCCGAGCTTTAAAGAAAATGTGAAAAAAATAATGGGTGTGGAAAAAGATGAAGGGTGCTTTATGCTGAAGGTTGATCCATGGGGAAGGAAACAAACAGATGGAAAATGAGGTAGTGAAAACTTTTTGCTGAAGGTTTATTTGAAGAAGCTGTGTCACAAAATTTCCCAAAATGCAGACGGTGTAAACTGACACAAAATTAAGGGAACCTGAATTCTTGACCTAAAATCAGGAACACTGTTTCCAGGCCCGTCAGGTCACCTTCAAAAGGTTCCCCAGGATACAGTTCTTCCCATAGGGCCCAGGCCTTTACAAGCCCGTTCTGACGTTGCTCAGCGACCAATATTTTATGATTCACCAAAGTTGCGACAAAATTCATTACAGTCCCTTTTGTAACTGACAGGTGACAGCATGTGCACTTGCCATACCCAGGCTACATCCAGTCGCATTTCAATTTCTGCAGTAATAGTAGACTGAGCAAGCAATGGCAGCCAGAACAGCTCATATCTTGAAGAAATAAGTCGACAGGCGCTCATTTCGCGTGTGAGCCGCTCTAGATCAGAATTAGTTTAAAGAGTAAGATTTAATTAGTATAGATGTAGATTTCTTGAGAAAAAAAACCATGAACTCAATTTTTAGTTCCTTGTAAGCATACCTCCTGATAACAATTTGAACGTGTGGACCTGCATATAAATTTGGACGATCATCAACAATCTGTAAGAACTGGCGGTGGGCATGGTACGCCTCCACTTAATCGATGTTGAGCCGAACCACGTTACCCTACACAATCATTGCTCTCTGAAGTGAAGCTATTTCAAATGCAAAAATTATTTTGTCAGAGAAACAAATTATCCCAAGCAACAATTGTGCTCTGCCGGCGAAAATTATAACCAAAAAATATTTCATCGCATAAAACCTCGCCAAACAATCTCAGTCTTCCTCGGTTTATTTTCAGCGACATTCATCTACTGTTATTAATTGATAAAGTAAAGAATAGTAAAACTAAATGTAAAACCTTGAATCGTTAGTGAATAACAAGTAAGAAAAATGTCTTTGTGCTTCTCGAGTTATTATTTTTTCTATCTTAGTAAATCATGACTTCTCATTAACCGACAAGTTAGCATAACATCCGCTGAGTAACCATCAACTATAAATTAAATAATTGCTTGTTCTCTACTTTACCATTAAATCGAGATACAAGTGGATATTTTATGTAACTACACCTTTTTTTCTGCTAGTGTCAAGAAAATAACGTTGTATCTAATTAAATGAAACATTTTAAACTTGGGAGAAACTGACTTCGAATCTTTAATTTAAAAATGTGCATAGGTGCATTTAGTTTTAAGTCTTACAGACTTACGTACCTAAGTGATGAGTATCCTTGAAACACTCGCAAATTTTGCTCAAATACGGCGAATGTTCTTCGGTAAATAATTGTGACAGTCCTATTTGGAGGTTAAAGAAAATTATTCAGTACTTTGCGCAAACCCAGAGATGCACCAGACTCGATTCATGCGGGCATGTTCCCTTCCTTAAAGATATTTCTCTTACTTTCATATTATAACACAGTTTCATGTCAGTGAGGGCAGGCCATAAAAATCTCTTATGAGTGCATTGGAGAGTCTGAAAACATTTTGGAAATAGCTTTGCAACAAGAAACTTAGCTGACTTAAGCAGTAGGTACATGATTTAAGTTTCCAAGAAACATCGGTGTCAAAACAGTAACTGATGGCGATAAAAAGACAAACGTTTCCCCGTCCAAATTTAGATTGCAGTAAGCTGCGTCATAGTTTTTGTCTACAAATAATCCAGGCCTTTCGACAATCAACTCCGAGTGGCTTTCTTCTGGTCAAGCTTTAACCACTCGCTATCGAAGTGGCTTGGAGAAGAAGCACTGTAGATCACTGCATGTATTCCTAGTCACCATCGCAATTGCAGCGTGATTCGATCTTTTCGATTCACTAGAGCCTTCTGCTTCATCATTAAGATTATATTTCCATCGTTTACACCTACTTTATTAGAAAGGGCTTCCTCCCTAATCCTTTTGAATTGACCAATCGAGAAGTTTAAAATTCCAAGTACGCGACTCGACGGAACAATCACCCACAGGTTCAAACTACTCTAAGATAGCCACACGAGTTTCTTGAACAGAGATGGGAGATGTAGCATCAGTGAAGATGCTATGGTCAAACCTGATATTTTTCCTGAGAAACATGTCACCAAGAGCTTCAGAATATCTAGAATCCCTCCAAAATAACCCCATGAGCAGCAACTTAACTAACGCAATCAGTCTCTCATCCTGAACGGTGCTGAACGGTCAGCGGGGAGTTTTAACTTAATTGCATCGATATTATCAGATTTCATAACAGCAAGGGAAAGAAAAAAAGGGAACACGTCTTCATACCGAAATTATTGTTCTTAAACTGACTCTAGTTTCCTAAAAGAAAATCTTAGCCTTTCCACTGATTATCAGCTCTGACTCTCTCTGTAACGAGTTACTCCATATGGAGGTGTGCTCACGTTGATACAGTGTGTTTTTTTCTGCACCAAAACACATGGCTAATACAAAAAAGTGAGCCGCTCTAAAAGTGACGTCTGGCTATTCCTGAAACAACTTGAGGAGAATGTGATAGCTTTACCCTCAAAATGTGTTCTTAGTTTGCTTTAAGCGCCTCAGATTTCCGAAATCACTCTACCGAATTCCGCTACGATGGCTTGACAATTCGCAAAAGTATGTCGATTGAGAGCACTTACCTCCTTTAAAATGTAACTCTCCTTCCCGTTTCCAGAATGAATCAATTGAAAGACAAAATTATATTGTAACTGAGAAAAGCTCTCCGGAGACGAGAACCTCAAAGTACATAAAAAAAACCAAGACAGCCATAAATAAACTCAAACAATCGGGGATGACCAGAAATCCGAGACAGTCAGCGGTTTGAAACGGGTGGTCATATCTGCAATAAAAAAAAAAGAAAAAGAAGAAGAAGAAAAGAAAAAATTCCTGCTACGCATGCGTAATTGCATCAGATTACGAAATGACGAGCCCTGGAAGGTGTACAAGCGAGAATAGCCGCGGTTTATTTCTCCAAATGCATAGTATTTCTTCAGCGGACCTTCTTTAAGATACAAAAAAAAAAAAATAAAAGCTAATGTATCTCCTAACTATTTTGCCGTGGAAATGCTAATCTCGAAAAGGACATCACATGGCACGGTGAGTTCACAATTCGCCTGCCTTGGTTTACAATGTTTGTCAATGTTTGTCAAGTTTAATAATTACAATCTTCAGGTTCATTATATGGTGAAATGGAAAGAGTGTAGCGGGTTTTAAACAAGTTGGGAAGATGAAGAGAACTTAACTACCGAACCTTTTAGGTATTTTTATTGTATCATTTTTTTAGAACTGTATTTAACCCTTAAACTCCCACCAGTGACCAAGACAGAATTTCTCCTTACAATATCAATACAGCATCAACCAGACAAGTGGTGATAATAAAGAAGAATATCAATTTAGGGATAATTAGTTGATCCAATACTAACTTCTCTGAACTTACATTATAAGAATTGTATGGCTGACAGTAAGGAGGACTACAAATTTGATCTGGGATTTAAAGGGTTAAATTAAAATTATAATTGAACCTGCTGAAATTGAAATACAGACATAACAAGAGAGATGCACTAGTATAAGCTTATACATGGAAAGGTATATGCTTAACTAAGTTTTTTTTTCCACAAATAATATCACAGTAATTGCTGCTCTCCTTTTTTTTCTGCCTTTGCAGTGCTTCCAGTATTACTTGTTTATAGACAACCCCTCTTACAATGTTTCCATTTTTATCATTTTTAATACAGAATTTAGACAAACCAATTGTTGACCAAGAGAGGCTAACTCAACAAGTTGATAACCTGAGATTATCAGCCCTGTTGAAATTGAAAATTAAATCTGGGTCTAATGCTATTTTGGACTTCTATCATGTTTGTTTTTTGTTTTATGGTAAAGGAAAGGAGGGAAGGGAAAAAGGGTATCCTTTGTTGGATAAGGATAATTTTAACCAATGTAATTTATAATGGTAATTGAACTGATTGGAGTGCAATTTGGGCTTAAATCATATGCATGATTTCAAAATCAAATGAGCACACAGCACGAGGTCGATTTGAAATCACAAGTATGATTTCAGACCAAAATTACACGACATGAGGTTCAATTACCACTTTATTGCATCCATTTTGAAATCACCCAAAATACAGGACGTGGTAAGTTAAAATATTTTATTGATGCATTACTGAGCCGGTCTGAAATTAAATTCATCCATTTTTTGGGGGAAAAAGTGAGAGTTTTGGAAATAAAAGTTGCAAAATTTGCCACATGATACTCTTTGTCTTTCATTTTCCTGCAATTTGATTGGTTACTTTAAACAAGCCTTGAAATCTGATTGGTTGTTTTGTTTTTAGTTTAGCCACCTCATTGGCTGGAAAAAAGATGCAATTTAAAGCAAAAAATGGTGCGATTTGTGAATAAATTGCATCAATTAGGGCCAATCAGATTACAGGGACCACCAGTGATTTCAAAATGGGTGTAATAAACTGAAAAACTGGGATAGGGTTATTGATTTTAGTGGGGATTGGGTCAGGGCTAAACATCCAAATCACCAAAAAAATATTCTATTATAAATGGGCAAATTAAAGAAGATCACAGAATGTTAACTGAGAAACTTTCAATTGATTTCAGTTGCCAATCGGTAACTATTTAATCATAGATATTATAGTATTACTGAAAATGAAATTCACTCTAATGGCTTTAGGGACTTTTAGGAGTTCTGCTTGAATGTAAGAGCTGCTAAGAATATGACCAATAGGTGAGTTG